GTCTTTATCGGGCTGGGGATGTGGCTCAAGCGGTAGCGCGCTCGCCTGGCATGCGTGCGGCCTGGGTTCAATCCTCAGCACCACATACCAACAAAGATGTTGTGTCCGCCGAGAACTAAAAAATAAATATTAAAAATTCTCTCTCTCTCTCTCTCCCTCTCTCACTCTCTCTTAAAAAAAAAAAGTTAAAATTTTTTTTAAAAAAAAGTCTTTATCAATGGTAAAAAGAAATTTTAAATTTGTTTCTTTAATTATTAGTAACTTTAAAGTAACTTTTCATATCTTTCCATAAGCCAGTTGCATTTCTTCTGTCATGGATTTCTTCTACCATGCATTGTTATATGCGGTAAATATTTTTCCCAGTTTGCCTATTTTTGTTGTTATTTTGTTGCTAGGGATTGAACCCAGGTCCTTGCACATACTAAGCATACACTATACCACTGAGCTACATACTCCCAACCTCTGTCTTTTAATGTGCAAGGTTTTTGGTTTGGTTTGGTTTTTTCTTTTGTCAGAGATGCAGAAAAGGAGATTCTCACTTTGTTGTCCTGGCTGGAACTCCTAGACTCAACTGGTTTTTCTGTCTTGGCCTCCTAAGTGCTGAAACAATAGGTACTCCTGACCACACAGCTTTAGTGTGTGAGTTTTAAATTTTATGTGGATATCTTTTATGTGGATATATCTACAATCTTTTCTGGTTTGTTTTGTTTTATTGTTTTTTGGTACTAGAGATTGAATCCAGGGGCACTTTACCACTAAGCTATATCCCCAGCCCTTTCTATTTTTTATTTTGAGACAGGATCTCACAAAGTTGCTGAAGCTGACCTCAAACTTTCAGTCCTCCTGCCTCAGCCTGCTAAGTCACTGGGATTACAGGCATGTGCCACAGCACCCAGCCCTGGTTTGTATTCTTTATATTTTGTCCATAGGAAAATCTTTTCACTCTCAAGTTATATACATATTTTATTCTTTAAAAGTATTTAATGTCTTTGTTGATTGAAATTTATTTTGGCAACATATACTGTAAAATAGAAATTATAATTTTAATTTTTTTCAAATAGTGCCCTATCATTATTTAGTATACAATATCTCCACTGATTTACATGCTGCCATTTATCATAATCTAAAGAAAGAAAGGGCTGGGGATATAGCTCATTGGTTGAGCACTTCTGAGTTCAGTCCCCAGTACCAAAAATATAAATAAATAAATAAATAAATAAATACTGGAGTCTGGAGTGGCTATACTAAATATCAGATGTACTTTAAATCAAATAGTTGCCGCATGGTGGTGGCACACACGTATAATCCCAGTGGTTCAGGAGACTGAGGCAAGAAGTTGGAGAGTTCAAAGCCAGTCACAGGAACTTATTGAGGCACTAAGCAACTCAGTGAGACTTTGTTTCTAAATAAAATATAAAAAAGGACTAGGGATATTGCACAGAGGTTAAGTGCCACTGGATTCAATACCTGGTACAAAAAAATTACTAAGATAAACATTTTATAATAAAAGGGTCAATCTATCATGCAGGAACATATAACAACTATAAGCATGTAGACACCTAACAACAGAGATGCAAAATACCTGAAGCAAAAATCAACTCAATTGAAAGAAATCTACAATGAAACAGGAATAGTTGCAGGCTTTAGTATCCTACTTGCCACAAAGCACAGAGCAACAAGGCAAAGAAAACAATATTTGAACAACACTATAAATCACTTACACCTGTATGATCTATCTATTGAACACAACACTGTGGAATAAGATTCTTATAAAGCACACATTGCACATTCTCTAGGATAGGCCATTATGGTAGGCTATAAGGCAAGCATCAGATTTGGAAAAGTTTTCCAAGTATTCCTGCTTCCAGTTCTAAGCTTTGAAATTCATGAATATGTGGAAATTAAAAAACATACTCCTAAATAATGGTTCAAAGAAGAATCTCAAGAGAAATTAGAAAATGAGATAAATGAAAACATAACATACTAAAATGTGAGATCCTCCTGCCTCAGCCTCCTGAGTCACTGGAATTATAGGCATGTGCCATTGTACCTGGCTTTTCTGAGACATTTCCATCAGCACTGAACATAAGTTATTCCTCCTGTGTTAATACAATAGCTAGTGCAAACAACCAAACAAAACTCAAGATCTTGTCACATCCTCTCCAGCTCAGCCTTTTGTTCTACTCAGGCCTTAAGATGATTGGATAAGCCTACTCACATTTTGGAGAGCAATCTTCTTTACTCAGATTCCTCTGGTTTTGTAAACCTGATCTAAAACACTCTCACAGATTAATGTTTGATTAAATTTCTGGGATCTATGGCTCAGCCAAGTTGACACATAAAATTAACCACAACTTGTATGTTGACAAGAAACTAGATGCAGGGAGATCAGATAGGTGGGAATTGGATAATTGATGAGAGGAAGGTGAAAGCTGGCCATATTTTGAATAGTTTGAAGACTGAGATGACAAATTACAGTTGGAATGCATGTAGGATATAAAAGAAAGGAATCAAAGATGACTCAAATTTTTGGTCTTAAACTGGAAGAAAAATGTCACCATTTCCTGATAAGGAGGAACAAGTAGAGGTGAGAGCTTGGCAACAAAATTTGCTGAATGTTTTTTTTATTCTGCTTTGTATATCATACAAACCATGTTTAAAAACTGGAGTGGCTATTCTAATATCAGATAAATATACATTAAGCCAAAAAGTTACTAGAAATAAATGTTTTATGATAAAAATTTCAATCTCTCAAGAAAGTATAACAGTTATACTTGAAGTCTGTTGTATACGGGGAAATGACCTGGGTGTCCCCAAGGGAATAGTGAAAGGATGGGTGACAGTGAGGAAAAGAGATTTCATTCTGGCTGAGGTAACCTGGACAGAAACAAAGGTTGAGGAAACCAGTTGTACTGGCATGGTAGATTTTGCCTCAAGAGCACTGGGTCTCACAGCATTCAGCCATGGCCCAGAAGTGAGACTGGGTTTAGGTCTGCCAAACATCTAACAGTGCCACACACTGTTCTCAGTGCTGGGGAGCGAGGAATGTGACTAGCTTCCTTAACTTAAAATCATAAGTGGCTTCTGACCACCTTTAGAACCAAATCCAACATCTTCACCAGGCCGCTGACTTCACCTCTATCCATACATTGTGTCATTCCCCCCACCTCTCTTTTTTTGCACTTATATCACATTCCCATTTCTTCAACTCCTTGGAACACCTGTTCTTTTTCTGATTGAGGAGTTTGCATAGCTTTTTTCTCAACCTAAAATTAATTCCCGCCCCCTTGCTTTACCTAAGACTTTCAGATTTATCCTCAGGAAAAATAAGGAGAAGAAAGAGACGCCTTAGTCTACCCCAAACACCCAGTCACCTCCAGCCCACCCCTGCTCCTTGTACCTTGCTCTGTCTTTCTCTGTCAGCATGCATGTACAGTTCAGGTCTTCTGTAATGCTCTCCAGATTTCTCTTTTATAATATATTCATACTTACCTATTCTTGTTCTAGGTCTGTTTCCTCATTGAATAACAAGCTCTATGGGAGCAAGAACTGTGCTTTTCTCATTTACTATAATATTGTATGGCAAGGTACTCAAAATGCACCAGACACTTACTAACATACGTTGATTGAATTGAAAAAAAAAGTTTTTATGATACTGGGGATTGAACCCAAGGCCTCTTGCCTTCTAAGCAAGCACTCTACCACTGAGCTATATCCCCAGCACTTTTTAAAATTATTTCATCTTGAGGCAGTCTTGCTAAATTGCCCAACCTGGCCTGGAACTCCTTGGCAGGCTCACTGGATAAATGAATGAATGGATGCTATTTTTCTTTTTTTATTTTTGGTTTCTGAGGATTGAAACCATGGGCACTTTACCACTGAGCCACATCCCCAGCCCTTTCAATTTTTTATTTTGAGACAGGGTCTTGCTAAATTGCTGTGGCTGACCTTGAACTTGCAATCTTCCTGTTTCGACCTCCCAAGAACTTGGATGATAGGTGCTAGCAAACTGCCATATTTTGAATGTGTCCCCTAATGTTCATGTATTGGAAACTCAACCTCCAAATTCATATGTTAACTGTATTTGGAGGTGGGATCCTAAGGAAGTAAGTAGGATTAGGTGAGGTCCTGAAGATGGTTTCCCCATTATGGCATTAGTGGATTTATAAGATGAGGAACAGATTCCTGAAATGCACGTTTTCTCTGATGCCACCACATTTCCCTTCATGGTGATGCAGCAAGAAGTCCCTCATCAGAGACAGAGCAGATGCCTGTGCCACATGCTTGGACTTCCTACCCTCTAACACTGTGAGCCAAACAAACTCCTATTCTTTCTTTATAAATTATTTGGACTCAGCTATTTTGTTATAGCAAGAGAAAATGGACTACATCAATGATAATCAGACCCCAAGAACCAAGCCTCTTAAACTCAGTTATTAATGTTCAGACCTCTACTCAAGGCTCATGGCCTATTTTTTTTAACCTCAAAAGTTTAAGGTTTAATATGAGTAAAATGCACATGTTTACAATTTGGTATTTACACCCAATATTTCAAGAAATCTCCAATTATAGAAATCTACAGGCCTGGTAGGTATAAAATTGTTTTTCTTTCATTGTTCAAACTCTGTCCCCTGAGGAGTGATTTGCCACTGTACTTACTGCCAACATTAAGTTCATCATTGCTCCTTTTTTTTTTTAATCAGGGATTAAACCCAGGGGCACTTAAAATAAAAATGAGACAGGGTCTCACTAAGTCACAATCTATGACATACGAGACCCCTCTGGTTCATGGGTGATATTTTTCCAAGATTCTCTCATGAATGCCTGAAACTGTGCTTAATACTGAGCCCCATTGAGCTCTGCAGCACTATAGCAATGGATGTAACCAAAACAACTATGACTGACTACTACTAGTAGTATATACTGTATGGATGCCCTGACAGGCAGGACAGTATGAGACATCATTCTACTCAGGATGACATACAATGTCATGAAACTTATGACTTGCTTATTTCTGGAACTTCCCCTTTAATATTTTTGGACTGTGATTGAGCTTGAGTAACTGAAACCATGTGTAAGGAGAAACCATGTTGGGGCCCCTACAGTGTCTTTGTTTTTGAAACCCTATAAGACTAAAACAGAGTGGTACTGCTATGTTATATGGTACAAGTATGCTAAACTTTGTAAGAAACTGCTGAATTTTTTTTCTGATAGTATAGTACTCCTAAAAGTATTATCTCCAAATCACATTGAGGGCTAGGACTTCAACACATAAATTATAATGATGGCCGGATGAGCGGGAAGACAAACATTCAGTCCATAGTATACTCTTGGGTATTTACTTAAAGAGTTATGAAAGCTTGTATTCACACAAAAACATATGGAACTGTTATAGTAGCCCTTACTCATTCATCCAAAACTGGAATCAAGCACACTGTCTTCAACTGTCAAGTGGATAAACAGTGGCACAGTCATATAATGGAATACTACTTACAGTAACAAAGAACAGATCCACTGATACATGAACCAGCTTGGATCAATCTCAAAGGCAGCATGCGAAGTTGAAAGAAGGCTGACTCAAAGGCTACATATCTATTGTAGGCATCTACATCTACATTACATTTTGTAAAAGAGACAAAACTATTTGGATGAAAAACTGATCAGTGGTTGCTAGGGGATATTTGAAGAGAAGGGGTTTAGTACACAACACTAGAAAACTTTCAGGATGATGAAAATGTTCGACATCTTGATTGTGATGTTTATTACATGACTGTATTTATCAAAATAAATAAAACTATAGCCCTAAAAAGATGAAATTTTTTGCCTGTAAATTATACCTCATGGGGCTGGGTTTGTGACTCAGTGGTAGAGTGCTCACCTAGCACATGGAGGCCTTGGGTTCAATCCTCAGCACCAAATAAAAGCAAATAAACAAAATAAAGGTATTGTGTACAACTAAATATATATATATATATATATATTTAAATTTTAAAAAAATTATACCTCATGACATAAATAAGTCGGAACTTGAAAAAATGAATCTGAATGTACATTTTTGCTAAAGGGAAATTAATAAGGGAGTTTCAAGCACAAAATATAAGAGTAAAGCTTGATGGGATAAGAAGATAATGAGTTAATGGAGAAAAAAGAATGACATAAAATTTCAATCTATAAATAATGAAGTGGGGTTGGGGTTGTGGCTCAGTGGTAGAGCGCTTGCCTACCACGTGCAAGGCCCTGGGTTCGATCCTCAGCACCACATAAAAATAAACAAATAAAACAAAGGTATTGTGTCCAACTACAATTAAAAAATAAATATATAAAAAAAATTTTTTTAATAAATAATGAAGTGAATCACATATTCTGAGTGAGAAGGTGAGACAAGAGACCTCACCAGAAACCAAATCAAGCTAGCATCCTGATCTTGGTTTTCCCAGCCTCCAGAATTGTGTGTGTGCAGGAGTGGGGATGGAAGTTCCTGTTTAATTCACTCCGTCTATAGCATATCAGTCCCCTCTGGTCTGAAGGGGATATTTTTCCAAGATTTTCTTGTGAATGCCTGAAACTGTGCTTAATACTGAGCCCCAAATAGTTTTGCAGTGCTTAGCAATGGCTATAACCAAGACAACTACTGACCAACTACTACTGGTAGTGTATACTGTATGTATGTTCTGGCAGGATGTTCATATATTTTTATCGTGGATGATAGTATCAAATTACTATGGTATTTAAAGTCCATTGGATATGTTTAAAGTTTAATAACAGTTTTGTTGTTAAAGGTTTATAGTTATGATTCTGGATGGATATTATATTCTTTGTACCTAATCCAACTTTTTTGTTTGCTTGCTTGCTTTATTGAACCCACTGAGCCACATATTCAGTCCCACTCTCACTTTTTTTTTTTTTTTGAGACAGGGCCTCACTAAGTTGGTGAGGATGGCCTTTAATTTGCAATCTTCCTGCCTCTGTCTTCTGAGTTGCTAAGATTACAGGTGTGCACCACTGTGCCCAGTTCTAATCAAACTTTTTTTTTTTTTTTTTTTTTTTGGTACCAGGGATTGAACTCAGGGACACTTAACCACTGAACCACATCACCAGCCCTTTTTGTATTTTATTTGGAGACAGGGTCTCACTGAGTTGCTTAGGGCCTTGCTAAATTGCTGAGGTTGATCTGTCAACTTTAATATATGTCAGGAGGTAATTCTTTTAGGGATATATGACTAAGAGGTTTGAAGACAACTGTGTTTTGTTGTATGAAAATATCACAGTTAAGCTTCTTTCTTTCCCTTTCTCAATCTCTCTCTCCTCCTCCTCCTCCTCCTCCTTCTCCACCTCCTCCCCCTTCCCTTTATTTTTTTCTTTTTTCAGTGCTGAGAATCAATGGTGGGTGAGTACTTAACTACTGACCTACATCTCCATTCCCGAGTTTAGCCATATTTTTAAAGGTGGGATAATGTAAAGGAGAGTTTCATTCTTAGATGACTATCATTTATATTCTTTGACATTCTGTTGGGCTATCAGATCACAACATGAAAAAGGACTTTATATACATAAAACCCAAGGCTCCAGTAATATCTATCTCAATTATCATGATCATTCACTCAACAGATTTTGTGAAGAGTCAACTGTATGCCTGGCATCATTTTAGGCACTGAGGTTACAGCACAGACTAAATAGCACAGATGTTGCACTTACCACATAGAAAGGACAACAGACATGAAGCAGATGGTCCAACATGTAAATTATTCATTATGGACTTAATAAGTGTCATGAGAAATATTCAACTGGGATGCCCGAGAGACAATTAGGATGTTAAGTGACTGATGGAAAGAAGGAACAAAGAGGTGGGGAGGGGGATGCAGCCCAGTGGTACAGCACTAGCTTAGCATGTGCAGGACCCCTGGGTTCAAACCCCAGGACCATCCAAAGAACAAAAAAGGTGTGCTGGGGCTGTAGCTTAGCGGCAGGGCGCTTGCCAACATGTGTGAGGCACTGGGTTCCATCCTCAGCACCACATAAAAAAATAAATAAAGTAAAACAAATAAAGTAAAGACATTCTGTTCATCTACAACTACAAACAAAAAAATTTTTTTAAAAAGTAAGGAAAGTGTAGAAGAACAATTTTCACTGAGGATGAAAAGGCAGAAAGGAGGACACCTGCAGGTAGAGTAAGGTGCATTTTTGTGGCCCAAACAGCACTGAAACAGTTAAGCAGGGAAAGACAAGATTGTGTTACAAGGTGGCCGCTTCAGTTTCTGGGAGGAGAAGGAGGATAAAATACAGGGAAGAAGTGTTTGGTAAATATGCTCTACAAGTCTAAGTCAATTTTGAACAATTTGCTTAAAAATTACGTCCAGGTCAATAAACCTCCATAATCAAAAGTGACTATGGGAGCTGGGATGTGGCTCACGTGATAGCGTGCTTGCCTGGCATGTGTGAGGCACTGTGTTCTATCCTCAGCACCACACAAAAATAAAATAAAGATATTGTGTCCACCTAAAATTTAAAAATAAATATTTAAAAAGTGACTATGACTTAAAACGTACCTACCTCTTTTCTTAGAAGAAATGTTAATATCATTTATTATTTTAGCTTTTTTAATATTTATTTTTTAGTTGGACACATATCATCTGATCACCATTATTTTTTTTATGTGGTGCTGACGATCAAACCCAGGGCCTCCCACATGCTAGGCAAGTGCTCAACCACTGCGCCACAACCCCAGCCCTATTATTTTAGCTTTTTAAGGTTAAAAACAATGGAAGCTATTAGTGAGATTAGAGGAAGTGTAAAAAAATTATCAAGAAAAATAGTCCTTAAATGATTTTTCTTTTATGATAATCAATACATACATGTTCTCCACTTAGTGTTCTCATTATTTATTGCCTCATAAGAGCCACCCTAATACTCAGTGACTTCAAATTAAAATAATTATAACAGAGACTTACAGTCTTTGCTAAAAGTAGTAACTATTCAGCCTGCAGATGCCCAATAGCTAACTAAAAGCAGGATAAGTTTTGGCATTATTTTGCATATCTTCATTTTGCACGTCTGCTTTATCACCTTAAACTTTGACACTAGCTCAGCTCTCCACATTGACATGTTAATCATTTTTTAAAACGATTTTTATTTGTTCTTTTTAGTTACACATGACAGTAGAATGTATTTTGACATATTATATATATACATGGAATATAACTTCCCACTCTTGTATTTGTACAGCATGTTAATCGTGTAAGGAGCTGTTATGGTTTGGATGTGAAGTGTCCCTTAAAAGCTCATGTGTAAGACAATGCAAGTTTTGGAGGAGAAATGACTTGGTGATAGCCTTAACTTAATCAGTGGATTGATCTCTGATTGAATTAACTGAGTGGAAACTAGAAGCAGGCGAGGTGTGGCTGGAGGAAGTGATTTGTTGGTTGGGGGCATAGCTATGGGGTATATATTTGTATCTGGCATGTGGAGTCTCTCTCTCTTTCCCCTCCTCCTTCTCTCTTTCCTTCCTGATCACCATGTAAGCTGCTTCTGTCTGCCATACTCTTCCACCATGGTATCCTGCCTCACCTTGAGCCCCAAGGAATGGAGTCAGCTGTCCATGGACTTAGACCTATGAAACAATGAGCCCTCAAATAAACTATTCCTCCTCTAAAGTTGTGCTGGTTGAGTTATTTAGTCACAGCTGCGAAAAAGCTGACTAAAACAGAAATTGGTACCAGGAGTGGGGTCATTGCTGTTATTAACCTGACCACGTGATTCAGAAGCTTTTTGAGCAGTTTGTATTGATGGGAGGAATTTTGAGATATGTAGCACTGCAAGCTGGAAATGCTTTAGATTGTTGTAAGTGGAGATTAATGGCTGACTCTAGTGGGAGCTCAGAAGATCTGAATGGCAATAGAACTGTGGTCAGTGAAGACAGGGTTCAAGAGGGTTCAGAAAAGGAGGACTCTTGGAATTTGTAGTAGAGGCTGTTCGTGTTATATTCTGGCTGAGAAGTTGTCTGCATTTTGCCCATGTCCTGAGACTTTCTGTGAGGCTGATTTTATTTTATTTTATTTTATTTATTTATTTATTTTTTAAAGATGGGGGGGGGGGGAGAGAGAGAGAGAGAGAGAGAGAGAGAGAGAGAATTTTTAATATTTATTTTTTTAGTTCTCGGCGGAAACAACATCTTTGTTGGTATGTGGTGCTGAGGATCGAACCCGGGCCGCACGCATGCCAGGCGAGCGTGCTACCGCCTGAGCCACATCCCCAGCCCCTGTGAGGCTGATTTTAAAAGTGATTGACTTCTTAATCTGGAGGAAGAAATGTCTAGGCAGCGTATCATTCAGGAATTGGCATGGGTATTGCTGGTAGCTTTTTTTTCTTTTCAATTAGCAATAATTTTACCTCAGAGAGACCTCATTGGCTGCCACTGCACAAAGCTTGCTGACAACTTTTAGCCAAATTTATTGTGAAAATCAAGAGCAGAAAGCAGAGCAGAAATATTCGAAAAACTTGAACTTGAAAGGCTGGAATAAAACTGGAGCTAAGGAAGTTGCAGTTGTTAAAGACATTACTGCCACAAAAAAAAAAAAAATGCTAAAGACTTTGTCCAGAGATAATAAGAAAAATGGCTTGAGGGCATCTCAGGAACTGGCAACACCATACCCATCTCTGGTTTAAAGGAGTAAAAATGAAATTTTCTTGAGCAGAGACCAGTGGGGTACCCTTCTTTTTTTAATATTTATTTTTTAATTGTAGTTGGACATAATAACTTTATTTATTTTTATTTTATGCCGAGGATTGAACCCAGGGCATAGCACATGCTTGGCGAGTACTCTATTACTGAGCCACAATCCCAGCCCCTGGGGTACTCTTCTTGCATAAGGGGGCCTATGGAGTTTTTTCAACATGTTCAGCCACCCAGACACTCAGAGGCAGCTACAGCCAGTGTCTCTGGAGGCTTGGCTACTACTCAAGATGGCAGCAGACCTTGGCATCAACCATGTGGTGCTGATTCTGCAGGAATAGGGTTTCATGGAGGCTTCCACCAAGATTTTAAAGGAAGGCCTGGGAGGCCAGGCAAAGTGCAGCAGGGTCGGAATCCCTTCCAGCACTCCCTGGGAAGGTAAGGTGTGGAGATTTGAGGAGGAAACCTAAACTGCAGTGGAGATACTCAAGGTTAAGAAATGCCAGTACTGTGGAACATTGTCCTAGGAAAGCTGCAGGAATTGAGCAGAGACAAATCCACAGAAAGGCCACTTGTGCTGCAAGGCCACAGGGGTGGATCTACACAAACTCTTTGGAGAGAACATCACAATGCCATGTGCTCCAGATGCTGGACATGGAACTACAGGACTTCTTTGCCCAGCTGGATTTTGGTCTTACTTTGGTCCTATTCCTTCTTTCTAGGTCCATATTTTTACAAGTGAAAATGTTTACTCTGTACCTTGAAATATAGGATATTTGTAAATTACTTTTAATTTTACAGGAGATCACAAGGTGAGATTACGTTGAGCCTCAGAGAAGACTCTGGACTTGAACTTTGAGCAATCTCAGAACTTTTGAGACTATGGAGACTCTGGGGAAGGGACTAAATGTATTTTGCATTGTTAGATGAATGTGAGCTTCAGGGGGCTATGCATGGAATGTATGGTTTGAATGTGAGATATCCCCCCAAAATCTCAAACATAAGACAATGCAAGAAGGTTTGGAGAAGTGACTGGGTTATAGCATTAACCTAATCAATGGATTGATCTCTGACTGAATTGACTGAGTGGTAAGTGGAGACAGGTGGGGTGTGGCTGAAGGAACTCATTAACTGGGGTCGTGGCTATGGAGTATGTTTGCATCTGGCAAGTGGAGTCTTTCTCTCTCTCTGCTTCATGATCACCATGATGTGAGCTGCGTCCGTCTGCCACTCTCTCCTGCCATGATGTTCAGCCTCACCTCAACCCCTGAGGAATGGAGCCAGTCTCCTATGGACGAAGACTTCTGAAACTGTGAGCCCTATAAATAACTCTCCCTCCTCTACAATTGTGCTGGTCAAAAAAAAAAAAAAAAAGTGACTAAAACGGGAGCATTCATCTGAAAACTGGCAATACAAGGCTTATTAGTCCCAATTTACTTAACCTGTCTCTCTCTCTTTTCCCCCTTCAAGACTGAGTCAAGACATCAGATCACCCCATGATGAGACTGTCCCTCTCTAAGCAGGAACCCTCATGGGATCCTTTCAAGATCACAATTTGGATAGATAAACATCCTGAGCATCAAATGGAAATTGTCTCCTCAAGTGATAAGGACTTTTCTGGAGCTACCTCAGAGAACCAGAATCAAGCTAATGATCAATTAGATCACAGTTTGACCAAGACTGCTTAACTGGCATACCCCTTAGCCCCTGCCCAAGTTCTCCTATTTAAACCTAAAGCTCTTGTCAGCACCCTGAAGACAAGGCTGAGCTGCTAGATGACAATATGACCATATGGATTAGAGCACCTTTCCTGCTTTTTACCATTGCCTTTTCTATTTGTATTTTTTGGGGGTGAGCGGCTGGACCTAATTTGTTGGAACCGGAGACTCTGTTAACATAATTGTTTCTTTTGCCCACAAATTTTATTGCCAGAATTTGGACAGGCCTCAGTGGGATGTTTCATCTCTGCTGTATATACAGTATCAGTGGGATGGCCTGACTGGAAGCCTAGAGCATCTATTTCCAAACTGGCCCATTCAACATAGCTGGGCCTGAAGGCCCGGGGCTTGAGTCCTTGCCACCTGGTGAGAAATGCAGAATTCTTGGCACATAAAGACTCCTGTCAAAATTTGGTACTTAGAGACCACCAAACTCTAGCCTGGCTTCTAGCATCTTAAGGCTGAATCCCTAGAAAGATGCCCCCTTTCAATCCCCATTAAATATCTGCTGCAGAAAGCTCAGCAATGCTAGGAAAATTTACTTTTTATTCCAATCAAAACCTAAACTTAGGTCTCTGGCTTCCCTTTCTTGATACATTTACTACAAAGGACTTAAAACTGTGAATTCTTCCTCTTTGGGATGTATGTGAACCTTTTATAACACAGGAGTTCTTAAGGATCTGAAAGCCCCTGTAATCATCAGGAAGGCTAAGGCCTTCTTCTAGTCTCTGGGGGAGGATAGCATCCTGATTTTCATAATTAACAGCTAGCAGACCCAGCTGGCCTAAAGGCATTAATGCCACCAGCCCCTTGTCAATTTTCACTTGAGCTCTGTTCTTTCCCTCTTTCTACTCCTTTCTCCTCCCTTTTAAATACCTGGTCATTTTGGTACAAATTGGAATGGAACTCAGCTCTTTCCCCTTACTGTCAGCAGCTACTGAGTAAAATCTGTTTTCGCGCTTTAACTAATGTACAGCTTGGTTTATCTTTGATAACAGGTTTTCTCATGTGATCCGGGCTTCTGGTATACTGTGGTATGGTGGATGAATTCAAAACCTAGTGGAGGGAGAGAGGAAGAGAGAAAAAATGAACATGTGTCTGCCAGGTGGAAGACCTGATACATTTTATATGTCTGTGCAAATCCAACTCCAAAACGGCTACTAATTTTACTAAAGGTTCATTGTGTCAAAATTGTTCCTAAGATAACATGTTTCATATTTCCATCTCCCTCTCTATTTGCAGATTTCTGTTCTTCTCCTTCCTGCCATTATAGCTTTCATATCCCACCCTTTTGTCCCAGTACTTCTTTCCCTCAGTTTATACTTAACAAAACAAAAATAGCAAAACAGCAATGCCTTTCAGCTGTTCTCCATGAAAATGCTTTATTCTATACCCAATAATAAAGAGGACTGGCAATTTAAAAACTTTAAGTGGAAAAAACAAGATTGGAAATAAAGTGATTCAAGTCCACTAAAATGTAAAAATAGAAAGTAAAATAATAAAAATTAAAAGGAAATAAAGTTACGCCAATTGGGTGGTTGAGGATAGTACACCTAAGTCACAGTGAATGTAAATTTGTCATGTTGGGGAGGGGATGGAGAATTACTGCATTTAAAAAAATCAAATAATTACTTGAAAGGCTCATATAACACTAAAACATAGGAAAGAAATAGCAATTACAAGCAGGGCTGAGGTTTGAATTTAGGTGATAAGCTCTTCCGGTTACATTTTGGACAAGGACATCCAGATGATAAGGAAGTATTTCTGGGAACAGTTTGGATACTGAATCTTCTCCTGTCAATGTTTCTTGTACTTTTTTATCTTCAGAACAGCTTCTGAATCGTCTCACGATGGGAATATACTTAATATACGAAAAAGTAGCTTGTATTTCATCCCCCCAAATCAACACAAGCTGATTTTTTTCTTCATAGTTTTTGGCCCCCTTGAGCTTCCGGTTTGGACTACATTTCCCAGCGGGCCATGCTCAATACTACGGATGCCTTCAAGAGGTCAAGCGCCGGTGGCGGCGACGCAGTCGCGGTACGGGCGACTGACGGGCGGGCGCTTTGCTGTTTGAATGGCTACGGGCCCTGGCCCTCACCTCACCTGAGGACCAGCTGTCCAGGGGTGCGCTATGCCGTCTGGTGGCGACCAGTCGCCGCCGCCCCCTCCTCCTCCTCCAGTTGCTGCAGGCTCTGATGAAGAGGAGGAGGACGACGGTGAGGCAGAGGACGCCGCGCAGCCGGCTGAGTCGCCAACCCCTCAGATCCAGCAGCGGTTCGACGAGCTGTGTAGCCGCCTCAACATGGATGAGGCGGCGCGGGCCGAGGCCTGGGACAGCTACCGGAGCATGAGCGAGAGCTACACTCTGGAGGTACGCTCAGGGGAGGAGGCGAGGGGCTTCCTGGGCCTAGTCGGCGCGCCCCGCCGCGGGGATGGGTTGCCTTCCCAGTGGGTGTCGGGCGCCCGGCAGGGACCCCCGGCCGACCCCGGGTCTCGGGGCGCCCGGGTCTGCGGCGCCCGGAGAGCGAGTGTTCCTCTTTGCGCACCGTAGTACTGCAAACCGGCGTTTAAAGGGCTCTCGCTGCTCTGGAGGTGAACTCTTTCTTGCCGCTCTGGTGTTTAGGACGGGGTACACCTTTGTCGCCAAAATTGCACAACCAGGTTGAGATGCGCTAGGGTCACGATTACAAAAAAAAGGTGGGGGTTGCCTGTGTAATCATCGAATCCCCCACCCACCAAGGTGGTCGAACGAACAGGTGTCGTTGTGCAGACCGTGGGAAGAGTGGGCGAGACTCGTGCTAGCGCAGCGATGGGCCGGATCGGAGTGCTCGGGTCTCGAGGCTTCTCCTCCATTTGTTTTCAATTTCGGCTCTACCTGATTACCTCTGCCCAGGTGTTGCAGACTTTTGAGTAAAGGCGTCGTTAAGTTTCGGGCTGTGTTTATGGACGTGTAAACCAATTAAGGCAACTCTTCCCCCGGGCCAAATGAAATGGGCTTTCTGCCTGTCCGGACCTAGACAGACGCCCCCAGTTGTTGCTAAGAATCAGGACGGCGACTACCTTGAGGATCTGGGTGGTTGTCGCCGTGATACGGACGTGTTTTGTCCCTTTCTTCAGACGAGGCTTGCAGATGAGAAAAATAGCCCTCTTAGCCAGTGGCTGTCAACTCTGTAGGCGCCTCCCCTTCATGGGCCAATGGGAAGTGACACGGAAGTCCGGATTGTTTGTCGGCTGTTTGCCTGTGTGTGTGGCATTCAAACGTGAGGCCGTTCGATTTTCTCGAGTAGTTTTACATGTAGCTTGTGGAAAGAGTAGGGCAGATAGGCTCCAAATACGAAGGCCTGCTACCAAGGTATGATTTAAACTGTGACATGCTGCTTTTGCGTATGTGTTTCTGTTGACTGCTTAAAAAAAAAAAGATCTAATATTAGTAGAATTTCAATGCGATCACTAATTCCCTCGCCCCATTGCTATTTCTACAGAAAAAGGCAGTAGTGATGGCTTTAGAACCTGACAGACCTGGGTGACTTTGAACAAATTACTTGACCTCCAGAAAACTCAATTTTGTTATATGTAAACTAGAGATATTTATATCTACCCCACAGAACTGTCTTTAAGGTTAACTAAGGTAACGTGTGGCTCATCATGCATACTGCTTCAGAGTTTACTGAAGTATATTGAGGTGATGTGGCTGAAGAGGCTACTTCTCTGGGTGCTTTCCTAGTAGACTTTTTGTTTGTTTGTTTGAAGGACATACATGCCTCCAAACAAGCTCTAATTTTACCCTCAAGATATTCTTATAACTTAGAACAAGCATTGTCACCATGCAGTTTAGGTATTGCAACTCATAAAGATTGTCATGTTAAGTCTAGTGTTACCTTAGCAACAGATGTTAGTGAATTGTTATTATTTTTGGTACTGGGACTTGATCCCAGGACCTTGCAAATGCTAAGCAAGGGGTTTCCTAAAGAGCTTCATCCCTAGCTCCTTTTTTTTTTTTTTTTTTAATTATTTTGAGACTTGGTCTTGCTAAATTGCTCAGTCTGGCCTCAAACTTGAGATCCTTCTGCCTCAACCTCCCCACAGCTGGGATTACAGACATGTGCCACCACACCAGGCTTAGTAAATTAATTTTGAAAACATATTTGATTACTCGATTTTTTTTGATCAGTGAGACTTTAATCTCTTCTTGGCCCAGAGCACCTAATAAATGCATGAGTATTTGTTCATGTACCAAATATTTCTTTAGTACCCATTACTACTTGCCACAGTATTCTAGGTGCTAGGAATAAATTAGTGAACAAAACTAAAATTCCCTGCCCTTGTGGAGCTTATAGTCAGATATGCTGAAAGGTAACATGGGATGGGAATCTCAGGTAAATGTACAATGAAAAAATAAAGTTCTGTGATATATTTAATACAGAATACTGGTTTTAGAATTTTACCTTTTTTTTATTTTTATTTTTTGGTACCAGAAATTGAACCCAGGGTCACTTAACCACTCAGCCATATTCCCAGCCATTTTTTATGTTTTATTTTGAGACAGATCTTGCTAAGATCTTAGGGCCTCACTAAATTGCAGAAGTTTGTCTCGAACTTGCAATCCTCCTGCCTCTGCCTTACAAGTCACTGGGATTATAGGCATGTGCCACTGTGCCTGGCTCTTTGATTTTTTATATTTTCTGTGCTTTATTCCTGTGTTTCCCTTCGTTTCTAGGCATTAAATTCAGGGTGCTTTACTACTAAGCTACATCCCCAGCCCTTTTTATTTTTAATTTTATGTTATTTAAGTTGCCTAGGAGCCACAAACTTGTTGTCCTGCTTCAACCTCCTGAGTGACTGGCAGAGCAGCTAAGGATTGAGCTGCTAAGGACTGGCACAGCTGGAGAGCTCTTTGGGCATCTCTCTCTATATGACTGACCACATCATATGGTCTCTCCCCAGCATTGTGACTCGAGGTAGTCAGACTTCTCACATGTTGGTGTAGGACTCCAAAGCACATGTTCTGGAAGATTAAGTGGTATCACTTCAACCTGTGTTATTTGTTGAGGCAGTTAATCAATTTAAGGGGACATAGACCTATGCCCAGGTTCAAGGTGAGGAAACACTGACCTCCCACCACTCATGGAAGAATGTGTCACATTTTATGAAGAGCATGTGGGACAGTACCATTTTTTGAGAATAAAATGTCCTATAAGCATATAAACTACTCTTTCAATTTAAACATAAGAATTTTTGTATTGAAATATACATAGTTCATTAGCTAAAAATCTACTTTATTTTACAGGGAAATGATCTTCACTGGTTAGCATGTGCCTTATATGTGGCTTGCAGAAAATCTGTTCCAACTGTAAGCAAAGGGATTGTTGAAGGAAATTATGTATCTTTAACAAGAATCCTGCGCTGTTCAGAGCAGAGGTAATATTAGTTTGAAGTATAACTAATAAAAAAAACTTATAATTCATAGTGATAAAAAGAATTCTCTGTCCATTATTCTCTGAGCATGTGGATTGCTGAGTGTGGACACCAGATCATGATTTTCCTTTACCACTTCAAAGTTAGTACTCATTATATTTTATTAATTTAATGAAAATATTTGCATTATATGTATTAGGCACTTGTGTGGAAGAATTTACTTTTGAAAGTTATTGTGTAAAATGTGGAGAAATCGAAATAAGGATATTAAGAACTTTAGGAGACACTCCAGATTGAAAAGGCAAATAAAATATTAGTCATATGGTATTTTGTTTATAACTATATGTACAGGACTTGTGTCTTAGTGTGTATACGTGGAACAGGTAGTAAAATCAAAGGTGTATGTTCTCTGACTCTGCTTCTTGGGATGGTCCCTAAATAAATTACTAAACACATGGACAAACATGAGTATTACAGCATTTTTGTTATAAAACATTAGAATCAACCTAAATTTCCCTTGGTTAGGGAATGAATGCAAAAAGTCATGGTGTGTTCATGAGTCGGAATGTTTTTAGCAATTAAATGAATGGATTAAATCTGTTTGTATCAACATTAATGAATTTCATAAGCATTGAGTTGAAAATCAAGTTGCAGAATGCTACTTAATGTATGATTCCTTACATATAAAATACGAAACACATGCAAAAGTGCTTAAGTTTATGGATCCACATATTTAGGTAGGAATCGGACTAGCTTCAGTGTGGTTATCTTTCGGGAAGAAGGACTAAGGAGGGGAATTGGATTACAATGAGGAGTACAAATGGGAATTTTGACTATTTATGTAGTGTTTTTAGTTTTTAAAGAAATCTGAAGTAAGCATGGCAAAATTTATTCAATATGTTAATATTTGTTAATCCTGGAAGTTGGGTACGTATTTGCTAGTTATGTTACTCTTGTTCATTTTTTTTAAGAGAGAGAGAGAGAATTTTTTAATATTTATTTTTTTAGTTATCGGCGGGTACAACATCTTTGTTTGTGGTGCTGAGGATCGAACCCGGGCCGCACGCATGCCAGGCGAGCATGCTACCACTTGAGCCACATCCCTAGCCCTTGTTCATTTTTTTATATTTTAAAATATTTCATAATTTAAAAGGAAAACCTCAGGTAGCCAGATACAATGACACAACCCTGTAATCCCAGTTAGTCAAGAGGATCCCAATTTTCAGACCTGCCTGAGCAATTTAGCAAGATTTTGTCTTAAAACTAAATTGAAAGAGGTTTTTTGGCACCACGGATTTAACCTAGGGCCACTTAACCATTGAGCCACATCCCCAGCCCTTTTTTATATTTTATTTAGAGACAGGGTCTTGATAAATTGCTGAGGCTGGCTTTGAATTCACAGTCTTCCTGCCTCAACCTACTGAGCTGCTGACATTACAGGAGTGTACCACTGTACCTCGCTCAAACTAAAAAAAATTTTTTAAAGGTATAGGTATGAAACTCAGTGGCAGAGTGTATGCCTAGTATCCATGAGGCCCTGGGATCCATCCCCAGAACCAAAAAAACCCAAAAAACAAACAAAAAATCTCAGGTGTAAGGATCAGAGTAATAAACCAATTTGTATGATATTAAGCTAGTCAAAGACATGAGTTGTGACTTTATATTACTGTCAAAATATAATATTATTTTTTATTTTCTTTTTTTGTGTTATTGGGGATTTACCCAGGGATACTTTACCATTGAGCTACATCCCCAGCCACTGTTTTTCTTTTTGTTTTTTGTTTGTTTGAGACAGGGACTCACCAAGTTGCTTAACTCCACTAAATTGCCCAGATTCCTCTTTCCTCAGCCATCCCCC